CTGAATTCAAGTATCCTTTATATGGCTTTTAGTGTATTCACAACTTTTAAGTCATTTTCATTACCCAGATTGAAACCTTACACATCTGCTCCCATCCTCTAATTGTCCTTTCCTTATACATCTTTCTTGTCTTGGACATTTCACACATAGAATCACACACATCATAAGGTACTTGGTGATGATTCTTTTTTTTCTTTTTTAGGGGGTCTGGTTGTGGGGCCTGAACTATGGGCCTGGGCCTGGGCACTGTCCCTTAGCTCTTCAGCTCAAGGCTGGCGCTCTACCACTTGAGTCACAGCGCCACTTCTGGCTTTTTTCTTTTTGCTTATATGCTAAGGAATCGAACCCAGGGCCTCATGCATGCAAGGCAAGCGCTCTACACTGAGCCACCTTCCCAGCCCGATTCATTTCTTTTTATGCAAATCTCTTCACTTTCTGGGTGGCATTAGGTATATTCAAATTGCTGTGCAACCATCACCAGCTATGGTTGGAAAATTTATTTTCTCAACTGAAACTTTGCACCCACTAATACTAACCCTCAGTCCTTTTCTCCCTGTGCCCCATGTAAACATTTCTTTCTAGGAATTTGATGCAATACCACTGTAAGTGGAATATACAATATTTATCCTTTGGGTCTTAGCATAATGCCATCATCAATGGTGCACACATCAATTTCTCATCAGGAATTATGTTCTACTGTGTCTGCCCCCTGGTTGCCATCAGCTGTTCATACTTACTTGCCAGCTTCCATTTTCATTACCCAAAATAGAAACCTCATACCTTAGTTCTCATCCCCTACTCCTTCCTCACTGTTCATTCACAGGGCTACTGTGGAATAATGAGGCTATGAATATGGGTGCATACATCTCTTCAAGTCCCTCATTTCCTTTAGAGTATATGCCCAGAAATAGGATGCTGGATGTTAACTTTTGATTAGGAAGTAAAAGTTTTAAAGTCTTTCATAGGACTTTCCTGTAACATTTAATATCCACCACTACCCCTCCTTCAGAACAAAGAGATTCCAATTTTCACACATTCTAGACACTTCTCATTTAGGAGAAGGGATTGCAGTGCTGGGATCATCATTCTGAATTGCATTTCCTTTAAGAGTAAGTGATGGCTTATCTTTCATGTCTGTTGGGCATTGTGTACTTTCAGAGAAATGGCTAAGTCCTTTGTCCATTAAAAAAAAAAATCTTTGGTGCTGGGAAGGTGGCTCAGTGGTAGAGCACTTGCCTTGCATGCATGAGGCCCTGGGTTCGATTCCTCAGCATCACATAAGCAAAAAGAAAAAAGCTGCAAGTGGTGCTGTGGCTCAAGTGGTAGAGTGCTGGCCTTGAGCTGAAGAGCTGAGGGACAGCGCCCAGGCCCAGAGTTCAGGCCCCACGACCAGACCCCCCAAAAAAATCTTTTTTTCTAATTTCAAGGATTTTCTTTCAGTTCATTAATATTCCAATAATCTTATTATTTGTATGTTGGTACTAAAGTATTCTGACTAGGATATATTTAGAGTAAATTTTTAAATTTTGAGGCCTCCTCCATTATTCTTAGGATTATTCCTGTTTTTTGTTTTGTTTTTGTTTTTACAAAAACCTCCTTTGAGAGAGAGTATGTAATTCCAGCTTTTCACTTCCAACCTTTATCCTGGTCCTACTATTTTAGCTAGTTCCCTGTAGTTGAATCTTGTTTATCCATTATATTGACCTTTGTCTTCTAGAGAGCTTAAGGATCTGCTTTTACATTGGTTTTATTTTGCAGCTTTTTTTTTCTGCCTGTTTTTACTATTAGCGACCTTCTTTAAAAATTTTGTTGTAGTACATGCTTTGATTTCGTTATTCACATTTGCATTTATCCTACATTTTATTTGTAGTTATAGGGAATACATGTAAACTCCTAATGTTCCAACAATCTTGCTTGTATGCTAGTATGCTGTTGAACCATTCTAGTGAAGACTGTTTCCTTTGAGACATGGTCTCACTAAGTAGCCCAGGATAACCTTCTTACTAATCTTCCTATGTTGAATTTTATATTGAACTGAAAGTTATATTTACATAGAAAATAAACTTTGAAATAGTCAAAAACTTTACTGGTTTAGTAACAGTTAAGAACCCCTAGCCAGGCACATGGCTCATGCCTGTAATCCTTACTACTAAGGAGGCTGAAATCTAAGGATGCCGGTTCAAAGCCAGCCTGAGCAGGAAAGCCCATGAGACTCTTATCTCCAATAAACCACTCAGAAAACCAGAAGTGGCGCTGTAGCTCAAGTGGTAGAGCGCTCGCCTTGAGCTGAAGAGCTGAGGAACAGCGCCCAGGCCCAGAGTTCAAGCCCCACGACCACAAAAAAAAAAAAAAAAAAAAAAAAAAAAACCCACTAGGGTGGCAGGACACTGGGAGGATATGAACATAAAATCTATTTTATTCTGATAGACACTCTATTTATGACACTCTAGTGTTTAATCAATTACTATTCCCTTTCAATAAAACACCTACCTTTGACATAGTGGAAGGAGTTCTGCCAAAAAAAGAAAAGCGAAGATATGGTGTAGCTGATCATCCAGATTAAAATGACATTTTAACATTTGGCTTTCTCCTTAGCAGTCTTAATTTCATATAATTCTGCCTATTTCTTCATCCCATGATTTCCAATCACTTCATCTTGGGTGTGTGGCAGTACACTGGAGCCCCACTCCTTCACTTGTTAAGCCTATGCGGCACTGCCCATGCCATTTGCTTTTCAGCTGTATGGACAGAGTAGACAACTAGCATGGGCTTTACATGTAGCAATGTAAAGTTGTTTATATCTTAACTCTTCTTGGCATCAATAAGATTTCATTTAGATATAGATAAATTAAGTCTATATAACATGCATGTTAACTTTACTATTATAATTCTCAACTCTTTTACACTGAGGTAACCATTTTTCCTCCAGTCCTGGGGGCTTGAACTCAGGGCCTGGGCGCTATCCCTGAGCTACTTTTGCTCAAGGCTAGCACTTTACCACTTGAGCCACAGAGCCACTTCTGGCTTTTTCTGTTTATGTAGAACTGAGGAATCGAACCCAGGGCTTCTCATGCATGCTAGGCAAGCATTCTACCACTACAACACATTCACAGCCCATTTTATTTTTAAAGAACCATATTGGTTCTTCATTGCATTTACTATGTCTAATCCAATGTAACAGTCTTTCTTATAGACTCACTAAGTTAACACCTGATTTAAACAGAGTATTTCCCCGCTGTCTAGGATGTCTTGGTAGATAATATGTATTGTACTCTTTCCAGTATGATTAGTGAATGGTGAAACTTCCAGTCTTGAAGGATAGGCTTAGAGTTGTGGAGGAAAATGTTTCCATATTTTCTAGGATAGTTCAAGCCCTCATTTACTGGAAATGCTAGCATTTTTTTTTTTGGGGGGGGGGGGTCTGGTTGTGGGGCCTGAACTCTGGGCCTGTGCGCTGTCCCTCAGCTCTTCAGCTCAAGGCTAGCGCTCAAACACTTGAGCCACAGTTCCACTTCTGGCTTTTTTCTTTTTGTTTATGTGGTGCTGAGGAATCGAACCCAGGGCCTCATGCATGCAAGGCAAGCACTCTACCACTGAGCCACCTTCCCAGCCCCGAAATGCTAGCATTTAAAACATGATGCTTTATAGTAGATTTTCTTTCCTTTTCATTTAGAAACCACAGACTCATCCAGAGTTTATCAATCCTCAAGTGGGATTCTGAGATTAAGTAACTTTTAATGTTACCTTACTTTCCAGTACACATTGCCATGTCATTTCTTATTAGCAGAGAAGAATTTTTAGTGCTGGGCACTCACACCTCTAGCCTAAAAAGCATCTGTGGAGGCTGAGGGCATGGCTTAAGTGGTAGAGTAACTGCTTAGCAAGTGCAAGGCCCTGACTTCAAACTCTAGTACCACCAAAAGTAGGTGCTACTGACTCACACCTGTAACTTCTAGCTACTCAGGAGGCTGACATCTGAGGATTGCCAGCCAGGGCAGGAAAGCTGGTAAGACTCTTTAATTAACCACCAGAAAACTGGAAATGGAGTTGCAGTTCAAAGTGGTAAAGCACTAGCCTTGAGCAAAAAGAGCTCAAGGACGGCACCAAGGCCCCAAGTTGAAGCCCCACAACCAACTAAACAAAAATAAATAAATAAATAAAAATCATGCATGGTTGCAAAATGCTGAATTCTCAGTAAAATAGTTGTGATACAACAAAAAGTAGTTGAGAGGAAGGAACTTTTTAGTTCACTTTATACACAGGTTAATAAAAAAAAAGAATAGAAAAATCTTCCCAAAATATTTTTTAAATGCATTAAAGGAAAAAAAAAAAAACTTGCTTGAATTCATTCTAAAGAAATTTGAAAAGTTCACAGGTTACTCTGGTTTTGAATTGGAGAAAGGTTTAAGTATGTAATGACCCCATAACCATAGCTAAGCTTTCTGAAAAAATATTTTTTTTCTGGTGGTACTGAAGAACAAACTTAAGGCCCTCATGTGTGCTAGATACGTTCTGCACCTCCAGCTCAAGGTAAATACTTATTCAAGACAGGATGCTACCATGTAGCATTTTTTTCAGGTAAGGGGTAGGTTTCTTTAGTAGACTTGCTGGGACCAGGAAAGGTTGGCACTCCACGTGGCTGGCAAAAGATCTGGGAAAGAGAGCTGGGAAAGAGAGCTGGGAAAGAGAAGAGAGAGCTGGGAAAGAGAGAGAAAAGAGAAGAGAGAGCTAGAAAAGAGAAGGGAGCTGGGAAAGAGAAGAGCTGAGAAAGAGCTAGAAGAGCAGAGAGAGCCCATGTAGCATTTTTTAAAAACACATTTTGATTAAATATCTGAAACTTTAGAGAGCCTAAATTTTCCTTGCATAACAGCATGATGTCAGTATGAGTGCAAACCTATGCCCTGTGTACTAACATTACATAAATTAGAATTAACCTGTTACAGCTTTAGTGGACGATCAGATTTAAATATAAAAAATGCCACACAGAAACAAACATTTTTAAAAAAGATTTAAGATCATAAATACGTCATTGTTGTCATAACACATTTCAGAATTTTTAGAAAAGGAACATTTTGGCTTTTAAGATTACTTTTTAAAAATCATTTCCCTCATCATTGAAAAAGACCTTATACATTTTCAAACTTCCAGTCTCCTAAGGCACAATATTTATTTATTAGAAGGCCAATCACACCATCTGCTGTAGCAGGAGTAGGTACTGGCACTTGAGAAAAAGGTGAAGCAGACCAAATAACAAGCTTAGTTAGAAAGACCTAGTGCTGTTAAAGCAGGGCTTTCTGTTAAAAATGTTTTTAATTGAAGTACTTTCAAACACATTTAATTCACCACAGAGGATACATGAGAAATGAATGGCAAAAATAATATTTTCTAATTAAGAGGGGAAAAAAAATCAATCTAGAATAATTGTGAATAGAGGGGTCACAATCTAATCTAGGACCAGATTTCAGTTTGGATTATTAGTGTTCATGCAGATATAGAAAATTAAACTGAGAAGTCCAGGCTAGCAGAACCCCTAGGCAACACTGTAATAGAGCTATCACAGTCCATACTGGCTTACCACCCACCAACATGTACTGGAATACTAAAACTGAATACTTAAATTGTATTTTTCATCCAATCAAAAGTTCTTTAAAATGTAGTACATAATTAAAAATTCCTGGGCTAGGGGGCATAAGCTCAAGTGGTAGATCACTTGCCTAGCAAGTATAAGGCCTTGGGTTCAATCTCTACTGTTGGGGGGGAAAAAATCCTCATTTTTAGCTCTGCCTTATCTCCTGTGATACCACATGGTGTTTTGGGGTTATTTTAAAGAAAGGGTTATTTTTAAACAAACTGTCCACAGATGAAATATGGGATGAGGTTCATGACTGAATCAATCATGGAGTGTTAGTCAATTGTAAACTCAAAGTTTCGATAGGACTAGGAACTGTGTCAGACATTCGAGTACAACAGGAGAGGGAGGAAAGCTGGTTTGTCATTCCAATTCTGACAAGGTGCATGGTCTTCGAAATTCTTGTCCACGTTCATGGAGCCATTTGTTGGATACTGTAAAAGGAAAAAAAATACATCAATTCTCCCTATATGGGTATGCATATTTACAGATGTATACGTAAGTACATATAGCTGAGAAGCTATGCACTTTTCAATGTAAGGTCACCAATGGAATTAGGATTCAGGTACACAAAGAATATAACAGGTTTGCCAGCTTTCCAAAGGAGATATTAAGATGAACATTAGCTGAGTGCTGGTGACTCATACCTGTAATCCTAGCTACTCAGGAGACTGAGATCTGAGGATCACGGTTTGAAGCCAGAGTGGGAAAGTCTGTAAGCTCTTCACCCAAAAAGCTGGAAGTAGAATGTGGCTCATGTGGTAGAGCACAAGCCTTTAGAAACAAAGCTCAGGTACAGTGCCCAGGCCCAGCACTAAGAAAAAAAGTAAACTCCCTCTAGATGAACAACTTGATCAATCTCTATTACATGATCATTGAATTTCCTTGTTTCCAAGATTTTTTTGGGGTCGTTTTTGGAGTGCTCTATTACTTGACCACGCTAACCCTTTTTGCTCTATTTATTTTTGTTGGTCGTGGGGCTTGAACTCTGGGCCTATGTGCTGTTCCTGAGCTCTTCAGCTCAAGGCAAATGCTCTACCACTTGAGGCATAGTACCACTTCCAGTTTTCTGGTGGTTATATTGGAGATTAGTCTCACAGACTTTCCTGCCCAGGCTGGCTTTGAACCATGATTCTCAGATCTTACAGGTATGAGCTACCAGCGCGTAGCTCATTATTTCTCAAATAGAATCTTTCTTGCCTTTTGCCTGGCTGTTCTGGACCATGAGCCTATTCTTTCCTTGTAGCTGGGATGATAGGCAGTACCACTGAACTCAGCTTTTTATGGGTTGAGATGGGGGTCTCATGTGCTTTTTGTCTTGGACTGAGATCAAACTTTGTTCTTCCAGATACAGCCTCGCAAGTATCTAGGATAATGAGAACAGTATCTGGGATGAAGAGAATATATGTCTGAGCCTCTTTGCCTAATGGTACTTCAATTCCTGTCTTTTACCTTTTCCACCAAAGCTTGTATCCAGTCTTTATTCATAGAAGCTGCCAATTTGCCTAGTTAGACAGGCTACTGCTACTGTTTGCTCATTTGGTCAAAGGAAAAGTACTCTCAAACTTGAGCTCTCCTCAAATAGTCCAAGTAGTTTTTAAATTTATATACACTCGGTGAGATTTTTAAAATTTTGGTCAGGTTGGTAACTAGGCAAGTAATACTGAACATGACTTGGGGCTAGTGACATATATAGTTCATTCATTAATGTGGGCAACTCTATTCATCTGGACCTGAGGAGGGCCTCTAAGTTTTATTGCTGAAATGCCCCTCTGACACTTAACAGGCTTGGAAAACTGTCTTTATGGGTCAAAAATGAAGCTTTGAAGAAGGCTCTCAAATTTAGGGAGTCCCTTTGCTGCTTATATCATATTAGTATGTACTGCCTTATACTTTGATTTACCCATTAATGTAGTCTCAATGAAGTTAACAATAGTCTGAGCTAGGTGTAACAGTGTGGACCTATAACCCCAACATGCAGGAGTATTATAGGCCTCTCTCTCAAAATGTAAAAATCTCATAAAAATGCAAATTTATTAAGGTACTTTCTTGTATCCTCCTATTAGGCAAAATCTTTGACAGCAAGTGTTCACTACAATGTTTTCAAAGTGAGACAGACAAATTCTCATAGATAACAGGAAACACTTACCCCATTTGTTTCCAACTAGCACCGGACAGGCTGCATGCCGTGTACTATAATCTCCTTCTCCGCTGGCAAATAAATTGTACCAGAAAACAGCAGTTCCCTATGAAGAAAAATTCAAAATGATTCCCAGATAAAATGTCAGGTAATCATTTTTCAGTCCTCAAACTTTCCTCTGTTGTCTAATTCTGAATGTGTTTTGACAACACCACAGAGCCACTTGATTAACAAGAGTACTATATTTGTCAAGCCAGGTGCTGGTGGCTCATGCCTGTAATCCTAGCTACTCAGGAAGCTGAGAGGATCACAGTTCAAAGCCAGCCCAGGCAGGAAAGTCTGTGAGATTCTATCTGGTAGTCAATTGCTACCAGGAAACTGGAAGTGGTGCTGTGGCTCAAAGTGAAAGAGCATTAATCTTCAACAGCAACAACAGCAAAGTATTATTTATCAAAACCTTGGCAGTATGGAGGGAAAGGTCAGATAAGCATCAATTTTAGAAATAAGAACTTTAAATACTAATCCCTGATTGTACCTAACCTCTATATACTCCTGTAAATTGTGCCCCCCCACAAAAAAAAAAAAAAAAAAAAAAACAGGGCTGAGAAGGTGGCTCAGTGGTAGAGCGCTTGCCTTGCATGCTCGAGGCCCTGGGTTCGATTCCTCAGCACCACATAAGCAAAAAGAAAAAAGCTGGAAGTGGCGCTGTGGCTCAAGTGGTAGAGCACTAGCCTTGAGCTGAAGAGCTGAGGGACAGCGCCCAGACCCAGAGTTCAGGCCCCACGACCTAAAAAAAAAAACACCCAAAATTTTACCAAGAGATTATGTGCCTAGAAATTCCTAATTTCTAAATGTGCTCTTTAAAAATGTAATTCAGTAGTTAGGCATTGACATACAGGTGCACCTCTTCATGGGAAAAAGACATAAAATAAAAACCCACAACAAATCCAGCTTACTTTTTTTGGCCAAACACTAGCTCCTACTTCAGGAAAAACAGTAGCTCCTCCTGCAGACACATCACTCATCTATAAGGAACAAATGGATATTATCAACAGAATTGGTAGAAAAAGGCCAGAATGGGGACAAGCATTTCTTTAGAGGTATTTGATTGCATTAGTAGAATGTAATCTCCATGGAGACAAGGATTTTTATGTTGTGTTCTCACTGCTAAGCTTTAGTGTACAATATTTAAATTCAAACAAGAGAAACTAAAATCAGCTGTATAATTTCTCATGCTACAGAATCAACACATTAACTTAACAATTTTCTAAACTGAAAAAGTACATACACAAAATAAGACAAAGAGCAGTGAAGGTTGTTTTTTTAAAGTAATACAAGAAGAAAACAAGTAACACTAAAAAGAACCTGAGATATATATGATCTTCATATCATGTCTAAGTCAAAGTAAAAATATTAAATAAGTTATTTTACCCCCACGGTATAACCCCTGCTTTCATTGTATTTGATGTTGGTATAATTTGTGAAGGGGAAGGGAAAAAACAAATCGTTTAAATAGGGATACAGGTGGACCCATGCAACAATGAGATGTACAAGTCATTAAACGAACTTTACAATTTTGGTGGGGGAGGGCGGTGGAGGGAGATGGGAAGGGATGGAAAGGGGAAACAAAGGAGGAGGCAATAATGCTTGGTAAGAAATGTACTCATTATCTTGCCCATGTAATTGTAACCCCTCTATATGGTACTTTCACAATAAAAATTTTTTTAAAGAAAGAGTATTTCAACAAACGCTATATTAAATGAGGGTATTTCAACAAAAGCTAGAACATATACTTAATAAAGATCTAACAGCTCTTAGCAATGAGAAAATTAATCTCAAAGCCATTTAAAAATTGTAGGAATGTTTTATATCAGAATATTACAGATGCTATGTGTCCCACTCATCTAAGAATAGTATTTAAGTAATGGAGAAATAAATGCTAAACCAATTATTTTGCACAACTTTTAGATACGCAGAAAAGGTACATCTAGTCAAATCTAACATAGGGATAATAGACCAAATAATAGTGCCAGTATTTATAAAGGAACAAAAGCAATTACTAGTAGCTCCTAACTATATGGAGAGATGTTTCTCTCTAATAAGAAATGAAAATTGAAACAACTGCTTATTTGGAAAGTGAAAGATGTATAGATTTCTACTTAAAGGTAGAATAAGCTGGTAACCTTGATGGAACACTCATTTCTAGAAAGCATACCAGCTTTTCCCAGCATAAATTTATACATTTTTTCCTCCTAGTTTTGTCTTTGTGATATTTATCTCCACATAGTCTTAGAAATGTAACTCAAGTGCTTTCAGACACAGATGGAATGGTAAGAGGGATGTCAAACAGAGAAGAAAGGAGGCAGAAGGAGGGAAGGTTAGAAGGTTAGAAGGTAGTCAAGAATACAAAGAGGAGGGGAGGTTGGGCGGTAGGACAGAAGAATACAAAGATTAAGAGGCAGACACAGTTTCATAAAACTCACATGGGGATAAGAAATAGAAAAAATTAATGAAATAAGCAAAATTAAGGATACATCTTGCTAAAAGGTTACAACATTATGGCAGATTATATTTTCCAAATATAATACATCCCAATGTCTCATCCTACTTGCATTTTCTGTTTTTTTTAAAAAAACATTTCTCAGGATTCCACCCAGAGCTTCCTACATGCTAGGTAAGTGCTATACCCCTGCGAGATGACCCCAACTAGTACAATCACATTCAGCAAGGATAAATATCTAACATACCCTCACCTGAAGCAAAATATAACTTCTTGGGGCAGATCCTAAGAAGCATCATGTTTCTTTGGGATATTTATGCAATCTGGCCCCAGGGACAGCCAGATGTAATAGATAAATACAACTTCCAGATGAATCCCCACAAGGCCAAGAGCTGGAGTAAGAACAGGAGTTAAATACTACTACACCACCAAAGAAAACGACTATATGAAACCATTTAGAGCTGGGGACCTGCCTGGAAAGCATAAAGCCCTTAGTTCATATCCCAATACTGACCAAAGGTCATTCTCACCCTAGAAATGATCCACTATCCCTCAAGATTCAGTTGGGGTCATTTGTTATTGCAGCAATAGAAAACTGGAATGAATACAACAATTTGGGGGCCGGGCATGTAGTAGTTCAGTGGTAAAGTATACACTTATGATGTGGGAGGTCCTAGATTCCATCCCTAGGGTAATACATAAAAATGCAATGAACTTAACTTTTATAAAACTGTACATTTTAGGAAATGGTAAAGCACTAGCCTTGAATTCAAACAGGGACAGTGCCTAGGCCTACACACAGAAAACATTAAAAAGTAAGCTTTTTTTAAAAGTATGATCTTAATATATGGAAATGGTTATTGTTAGGACCTCTTTACAATTTTATTGTAAAGATTCTGTACAGAGGGGTTACATTTACATGAGTAAGGTACATTTCTCATTGAACATTGTTACCCACTCCATTGTTGTTCTCCCACACACACACACAATTGTAAAGTTCATTTCCAACATGGTGTCCTGTGAGTATCATTGTTGCTAAAAGAAGTATAAAAGATGATCCATTGCATTTTGTTATTTCCCTTCCCTTCCCCCAATCAGATAAATACATATACAAGATGGAAGGTAACAGAATCAAAGACAGAGATTGCCAGGGATAAACCAATGGAAAAAGAAAAATGAAATAAAATAAGAAGAACTAGATACAGTACACTGGCAACATCAAGGTTGACAACTAAAAAAAAGAGACTGTCTCCAAGTCATGGAGTTCACTTCAATTAGCATCATTTTGTATGGTCATATGTTTATAGCTTTTGAGCTATTATGATTCTGTGTCAAGAATAACCTAGGCTTATACTAATTATTACAAATGAGGGAAACCACAGAGCCTATGTTTCTTTGGGTCTGGCTTACTTCACTTAATATGATTTTTTCCAAGACTTTCCATTTCCTTACAAAAGGGGAGATGTCATTCTTTCTGATAGAAGCATAAAATTCCACTGTGTAAATATACCACATTTTCTTTTTTTTTTTTTCGGGGGGGGGGGGGGCCCTGAACTCTGGGCCTGGGCGCTGTCCCTCAGTTCTTCAGCTCAAGACTAGCGCTCTACCACTTGGGCCACAGCGCCACTTTCAGCTTTTTTCTTTTTGCTTATGTGGTGCTGAGGAATCGAACCCAGGGCCTTAGGCATGCAAGGCAAGCGCTCTACCACTGAGCCACCTTCCCAGCCCCATATACCACATTTTCTTGATCCATTCATCTATTGAGGGGCATCTGGGTTGGTTCCATATCTTAGCTATGGTAAATAATGCTGCAATGAACATAGTTGTGCCAGTCACTTTAGTGTGGCCTAGTTTGAAGTCATTTGGATAAATGCCCCCTCTGGTGTATTATAAAGTACTATTTCTTAATCTAGGTGCCAACAACTAGATGTGTTCACTTTGTGAAAAATTATCAGGTTTCATATACACTTTGCTCTCTGCTGATAATATTTATACATCATATATGACTAAAAACAGATACTCAAGTATTAGTGATTATTTTCGGTTTTTTTAGATCCTGAGGTTTCTACAATGAACATCTGAAAACAAATTAATTTTCCATCTCCACATCACAATATCAAACCAAACTTAAATACTTTTGTCACAACTTACATAAAATAGCCATGTAGCAATTCTATTGCCTGTCCCAAGCTCTCTGAAAGCATCTGGCTCATCTTTCTGTGAATTAAAAAAAAATTAAAATAATATAAAAATTCAGTAATGCAAATACAGTGACAACTAAACAGTAACAATAAGCTGAAAAATTTGCCAAATATAAGCTGAAAGGATTCCCAATGTCCTATAGTGTATATACTACCACTCAAGTACATTCGATTAAATTCCAAATGTGTCAGTAATGAGGGCAGTAAAACTTCAAATCAGGTTCACATAAAGGCAGGCCTCAAACTTACAGAAGCAGCACCTGTTCCCACCAACATGACAGTATGTACGCGGCACTACCTCAGGTTCTGTCACAAAGTAGATCATTTTCAAACCCATCCTGTTGCTTAAAAGCTGTGATCTCCTGAGTGGGTCAGGTTCATCAGTGAGCACAGTGGCAGGGCTTCTCACAGAGCAAGCAATACAAAGCTCTAGGTTCTTAGAGGAATGTGTGTCCACAGCCTCTTTTTTTCAACTAATAACTTTTTTTTCCAGGCTCAAGAATCTAAAGACCTAGATAGTTTATTTACTACTACTGAAGTCTTCATAGTGATTCTACTGCCAGGCAACTATATATGTAGTTTTAATAGTAAAATAACAGAATCAACAGGTTGGCTAAGATGGCAGCTCTTCTGAACTCTCTCTGCAACTGTCTAACTTCTAGGCTTCTATTTCTGCATTGTCCAATTTTACCATGAGCCCCACTGAGTCAGTTTAGCTGGAATCTTCTTACTATGTGATCATGCTCCTCACCTTCCACCTTGGGGGTTGGTTTAGCTACAGTGACTCCTGCCCCTACCATGAATAATTTTTTTTAATGGGTCTTGGGGCTTGAACTCTGGTCTTGGGTGCTGTCCCTGAACTCTTCAGCTCAAGGCAAGCACTCTACTGCTTCAGCTACAGCACCACTTCCAGTTTTCTAGTGATTTGCTGGAGATAAGAGTCTCACGGACTTTCCTGCCTGAGCTAGCTTTGAACCATGATCCTCAGATCTCAGCCTCCTGAGTAGCTAGGATTACAGGCATGAGCCACCAGCACCCGGTGCCCAGCCATGAATGATTTTTTTTAACAATGTAAACTTGTTAATGTCTCCATTTCATTTACTTACCCGTGCAAAGTCAAAGTGGGGTTCATACTGTCCTCCAACTCCATAATTTGCTACCTAAAAAAAGAAACCATGGATGAATGGATGAATGAACTATTAAAGTACCTAGGAAAACAAAGGGTAAAAGCTGAGCTGGGAAGATGGCTCAGTGGTAGAGCGCTTGCCTTGCATGCACGAGGCCCTGGGTTCAATTTCTCAGCACCACATAAGCAAAAAGAAAAAAGCCGCAAGTGGCGCTGTGGCTCAAGTGGTAGAGTGCTAGCCTTGAGCTGAAGAGCTAAGGGACAGCACCCAGGCCCAGAGTTCAGGCCTTACAACCAGCAAAAAAAAAAATTCCCAAAGCCAAAAATGTTGGCAACCCCCCAGTATACTTTAATTAAACCTTTTCTTATTTAAAGATGAGAAGTTCACACCACTTCATTTAATATGACAATGTCCCTATAGCAACAGAAAGGAAGAAAGAAAAACTGGGTATGGTGGTCCAAGTTTATAATTGCGGCTATAGGAGAAGCACAGGTAGGAAAATCAAAGTCTAAAGCCAGGCTCAATCGAAGCATCTCCCTGAAAAAGTATAAAGGGCTTGGGCCAGGCACTGGTGGCTCATGCCTGTAATCCTAGCTACTCAGGAAGCTGAGATCTGAGGATCAAGGTTCAAAGCCAGCCCAGGCAGGAAAGTCCATGAGACTCATCTCCAATAAACTATCAGAAAACCGGAAGTGGCACTGCGGCTCAAGTGGCAGAGTGCTAATCTTGAGTTGAAGTGCTCAGGGACAGGGGCTTGTAAGGTAGCTCAGTGGTAGAGCCCCTGCCTTGCATGCATGAGGCCCTGGGTTCGATTCCTCAGCACCACATAAGCAGAAAAAAAAAGCCAGAAGTGGCATTGTGGCTCAAGTGGTAGAGTGCTAGCCTTCAGCTGAAGAGCTGGGGGACAGTGCCCAGGCCTAGAGTTCAAGCCCCACGATAGGACCAAAAAAAAAAAAGAGCTCAGGGACAGTACCCAGGCCCAGAGTTCAAGCTCCACGACTGAAAAAAAGAAAAGAAAAAAAAAGGGCTTGGGGTATGGGTTGGATCTCTTGCTTTGCCAGTACAGAGGAAAGGGAAAGGAACGAGAAAAAGAGAAATGAACTATGATTATCTCCATGTATATAACTTTGGATAGAATGTTTTCTTATTTGTAAAATGAGAATGATGCTTTTTTAACTCTTTCCTTCCATCACCATATAAAATATTGACAAAATCAACAAAGGAGAATCTGAAAGAACACTATTTACAAAAATAGAAGTCACATGGGGAGGCGGGGGGGGGGGGGGGTGTAGGCTGGGAAGGGATGAGAAGGGGAAACAAATGAGGAGACTACAATGCTTGATAAGAAATGTACTCATTATCTTGCCTATGTAATTGTAACTCCTCTGTACAGTATTTTCACAATAAAAAATAAAATTAAAAAAAAATAGAAGTCACAAAACTAGATATTTTACTTACATTGTAGAAACTGCTGGATCAGTCTATTATACAGAAATGTATGAATTCAATTGAAAGCAGTTTTGAAAAATATATTACTTGGCAATTAATCAGATGAATACCAAGGAAGTTGTAGATTACTATAGAATGACAACTTAAATTCATCTATAGGTAGTTCTGCTTTTGCCCAGTGTGTACAAATCTCAGCACTGTTCAGTTAATTGTTAATGCCAGGCCACAAGTTGCTATGGCATATTACCAGTGTCCAGTATAAAGTAAAAATGTAAACATATAAAGAATACCATACTAGCCAGGGGCTGATGGCCCAAGACTGTCATCCTAGCTATGTGGAGGTTGAGCTAGAAAGGATTGAAGTGAGAGACCAGCCCAGTAAAAAAGGTCAAAATATCTTGGGGAAGTTCAGGGCATGGTAATTTTTGCCTGTAATCCCAGCTGTATAGGAAGCATAGGTAAGAGAATCATGATTTTAGGTCTGTTCAGCCAAAATAATCTGAAAAATAATCTGAAACATAAAGGGCTGGGGGTGTGGTTCAAGTGACAGTGATTGCCTGCCAAGCACAAGTCCCAATTCCAAACCCTAGTAACACACACACACACACACACACACACACACACACACACACACACACACACACACACACACACACACACACACACACACACACACACACACACACACACACACACACACACACACACACACACAAATTCCTAGGGGATAAAGCTCAGTTGATGTTTCCTAAGTTGATAGTGCATAGCTAGACAACAGGACAGTGTTGCAGAATGGTCCTATAGAAACCCTGGCTCTTGGGGGTGAGGAAGGGGGGAGCCGGGGAGGGAAGGAATGGTAGGGAAAAACAAAGGTGGAGGTAACAATGCTCCATAGGAAATGTACTCATTACCTTACTCATGTAATTGTAACTCCTCTGTACACCAATTTTACAATAAAAAAACATTTTAAAAAAGAAAAAAAAGTGATTATGATGTGATTTGTGGTCAGCTATGGCTGACCTCAAAATGTTCTGGACTGTCTCAACCATTGGCTGGATGCAGCCATATGCACTTGTCATTCAGAGACTCAGGAAAACAAACATATATATGTCCCAGCTGGCCTGGGAATAAAGCAAGACTCTATGTATGTATGTATGAATGTATGTATGCATTTATTTATTTATTTTTAGCCAGTCTTGAGCACTATTCCTGGGCTTCTTTTTCTCCTCAAGGCTAGTATTCTACAACTTGAGCCATAGTGCCACTTGTGGCATTTTCTGGTTTTTTTTATGTGGTACTGAGGAATGAACCCAGGGCTTCATGCATGCTAGGCAAACCCATTAAGCCATATTCCCAACCCACAAGACTCTATTTTGAAAACACATTAAAGGGATAGCAGAATAGCTCAAAGTGGTAGAGTACCTGCCAAAGAAGCACAGACCCTAAATTCAAACTCCAGTACCACCAGAAAGTAGAAATAATAAGTGATAAGAATGTCCTGGAGGGGCTGGAAATGTGGCTCAGTGGTAGAATGCTTGCCTCGCATGCTTAAGGCCGTGGGTTTGATTCCTTAGCACCACATAAACAGAAAAAGCCAAAAGTGGTGCTAGCCTTGCACAAAAGCAGTTCAGGGACAGTGACCAGGCCCAGAGTTCAAGCCCCAGGACCAGAAAAAAAAAGAATGTCCTGGAAAAAAACTTTTACAATAAGAGTAATCAGAAGTATTTTACTGAAAGCACAAAGAATAAAATGTTGAAAATAGAATGAAGCTTAGAAAATATATCATGAGAGCTGGGAAGGTGGCTCAGTGGTAGAATGCTTGCCTTGCATGCATGAGGCCCTGGGTTCGATTCCTCAGCACCACATAAGCAAAAAGAAAAAAGCCGGAAGTGGCGCTGTGGCTCAAGTGTAGAGTGCTAGCCTTGAGCTGAAGAGCTGAGGGACAGCACTCAGGCCCAGAGTTCAGGACCCACGACCAGACCCAAAAAAGAAAAAGAAAATACATCATAAGGCAAAGAAAAGATACTATTACTGTAAGTAAAAAGAGTATTGTTAATGTTATTGATACAGTTTTACAGCTTTTCAGCTCAAGGCAAGCACTCTACCGCTTGAGCCACAACACCACTTCTGGTTTTCTGGTAGTTAATTGGAGATAAGAGTCTCATGGACTTTCGTGCCCAAGCTGGCTTTGAACCATTATCCTCAGATCTCAGCCTCCTGAGTAGCTAGGATTACAGGTGTAAGCCACCAGCACCTGGCTATAATGTTTTAAATTACCAAGAAAACCAACAATTCAGTAGAGAAAGAATCTTTTCAACAAATTGTGCTAGGACAATAGATATTAATGTGAAAAAACAAGGCCCCTTCTACCTCTCAATGCCACATGAAAAATTTTAATTCAAAATGGATCAAAGAGGGTTGGGAAGGTGGCTCTGTGGTAGAGTGCTTGCGCCTCACATGCATGAGGCCCTGGGTTTGACCTCAACACCACATAAAAACAGAAAAAGCCGGAAGTGGCGCTGTGGCTCAAGTGGTAGGGTGCTAGCCTTGAGCCAAAGAGCTGAGGGACAGCGCCCAGGCCCAGAGTGCAGGCCCCATGACCGACAAAAAAAAAAAGGATCAAAGATCTGCAGGAAAGCTGGGTATCAGAAGCTTGTGTCTGTAATCCTAGATACTCAGGAGGTTGAGATCTGAGCATGGAGGTTCAAAACCAACCTGGCAAGAAAGTCTGAAATTCTTATCTCCAATCTTCCATTAATCACTGGAAGTAGCACTGTGGCCCAAGTGGTAGAGTGCTAGCCCCGAACAAAAGAAGCTCAGGGACAGTGCCCAAGCCCAGAGTTTAAGCCCCAGGATTGACAAAAAAAAATAATAATAAAGCTGATTTTCATTTGTTCATTGTTACTCAACTGTTTTCATATTTTGGCAATTTTAAAGACTACTGTCAACTGATTAATATAATCACTTTACAATTTTTCAACTTGTTGCATCACCTTTAATACTCCCCAGCTATGATGCAAGACAGAGGCTATCTGTTCTATGTCAGGAAATACCACCAAAGCATTTGGAAGTGAAAAATTAACTTGAGGATAAAATGGTTACCTACCTGTAATTCTTCTGCTGTGGAAACATCTAGTCCTGTTAGATCTTGTATTCTCATGTTAATTCGAGACACCACAGGGTTTTCATAGCCAGAAAGCCAAGCACTAAGGGCAAAAACAGAAAATACTAGTTTTACAGTATTGCTTCATTCATAAAAACCAATAAACTAGCTGGGCACTGGTGGCTCACCACTGTAATCCTAGCTTCACAAAAGGCTAAGAACTGAGGATTGTGGTTCAAAGCCAATCTAGGTAAGCAAGTCTATGAGACTCATCTCCAATTAACCACCAGAAAACTAGAAGTGGAACTGTGGATCAACTTGGTAGAGCACTAGCCTTGAGCAAAAAAGCTCAGGGACAGTGCCCTATACAACATTCCCAATCCTTGAATTTTGAAGACAAGAGTCTCACTATAAATGGCCCAAGCTAGCCTTTAACTTGCCTCAACCTTCTGAATACGGGATTACAAGTGTGTGCCACCATGTTCAGCAAAGACAATAAACATTTAGATTCAATAAAAATTTTTGTGTAGACAATATGTTGGAAACCATCTGTTCAACTTGGTGGTGGAGGTGGGGGGGGGGGAAGTAGGAGAAAATTGAGGGAAAGAGTAACAATGTTGACAAGAAATGTACTAATTACTTATGTAACTAAACCCCTCTGTACATGACCTTGACAAAAAAAAAAAAAAATCTGTGTGTGTGCCAGTTCTAGGCTTGAACTCTGGGCCTGGGCACTGTTCCTGTGCTTTTTGGCTCAAGGCTAGTGCTCTACCTACCTACTTGAGCCACTGCTCTACTTCTGGGGGGACGGGGATTGTCTTTGGTGTTTAATGGAGATATAGTCTCACAGACTTTCCTACCAAGGCTGCCTTTGAACTGTAATCATCTGATCTTAGACTCCTGAATAGCTAGGACTAGAGGTATAAGTAATCCACACCTGGCTAATTTTTTTCTCTTTAAAAAAAAAAATTGTTGTTAAGGTATTATACAGAAGGGGTACCATTTTGTAAGCCAAGTAATGAGTGAAATTCTTTTTGGATGTCACCCCTTCCTTTACTTTCCCTCATATATTTTTTTTTAAGATGTCACATTTTATAATTAGAAGTTAAAAAGGTCACCTTCCTCAAAGTCTCTTTCTCTTTCCCCTCTATCTTGAGGTTTATGTTCCCTGTTCTCAAGCAATCATCTTGCTCCAACCTCCTGAGTAGCTCTGACCAAAGGCACGAACCACTACACCAGGCTTACATTTAAAAACTTCTAAAAATTCTAGAAAAATACATGACAAACTGAAAACAATTGTTTCTTCCATAGAAGAAAGTAGAGGACTATGTTGGAGTCAAGGGGACTTTAGTCTGATGTACCAGAAATAAAATCATGTATTACTTGCCTAAATTAGTTTTATTAGAGCACTTAAAAATACCCACTAAAAAAATGTTGATGGAGTACATATATAGCTCAAGTGGCAGAGTGACAATGTGACCAGAAAAGGCAGGAGCTGAAGGCCCTGGATTCAAGATCAGTACTGAAGGGAGGGAGGAAGAAACAGAGGGAGAAGAAAGAGACCAGGGAGAAGGGAAGAGGGTAAAAGGAGAGAGGAGGGTATAGAGAGAGAACAAAACAATGTTGACGGAGAAGATGTAATTCCTAAACATTGCTGATGGAAAGGTAAAATGGTGAAGCCATTGCCAGGCAGTTCTTCAAAATATTAAACACAGTTACCATATGGCTCGGCAATTCCATTTCTAGATATACACACAGAAGATATTAGTTATTTCCACATAAAAACATACAGAGGGGGGCTGGGAAGGTGGCTCAGTGGTAGAACACTTGCCTTGCATGCATGAGGCCCTGGGTTCGATTCCTCAGCACCACATAAGCAAAAAGAAAAAAACTGGAAGTGGTGCTGTGGCTCAAGTGGTACAGCACTAGCCTTGAGCTGAAGAGCTGAGGGACAGTGCCCAGGCCCAGAGTTCAGGCCATGACTGGACCCCACCCCCCCCCAAAAAAAAAACATACAGAGGGGGCTGGGAAGGTGGCTCAGTGGTAGAGTGCTTGCCTTGCATGCATGAGGCCCTGGGTTTGATTCCTCAGCACCACATAAGCAAAAAAAAAGCTGGGAGTGGCGCTGTGGCTCAAGTGGTAGAGAGCTAGCCTTGAGCTGAAAAGCTGAGGGACAGCGCACAGGCCCAGAGTTAAGGCCCATGACCAGACCCAAAAAAAACCAACATACAGAGCTGGGTGCAGGTGTCCCATGCCTATAATTCTAGCTATTTGACAGGTTATGATCAGTAAGGGTGCTGTTTCAGGTCAGTGCCAATAGAAAAGTCCATCAGACTCCACGTCAATGAGAAAAGCTAGGCATAGTGCTGCATACCTTGTCATTCCAACTATGATGAGAGCAAAATACATCACAAAACTAGACTAGCAGCTGGGCACTGAATGCTCATGCCTATAATCCAGCTACTCAGAAGGCTGAGATCTGAGGATCGCAGTTCAAATCCAGCCTGGGCAGGAAAGTCCGTGAGACTTTTCACCACCAGAAAATCGGAAGTGGCACTGTGGCTCAAGGAATAGAATGCTTACCTTGAGCTGAAGAGCTGAGGGACAGCGCCCAGGCCCGGAGTTCAAGCCCCAAGACAGACAAAACAAAACAAAAAACTAGAGTAGCAAACCAAAATTCATATGGAAACACAAGAGACCCTGAATTGTCAAAGTAATCCTGGACTTACAGAGTAATGCTTGAGGCATTACAATACCTGATCTTACTACAGAGCCACAGTTTAAAAAAAAAAAGTAGACACAAAGAATAGAAGACCATGCACTCACTACTATCTGATTCTCAACAAAGATGTAAAAACTATACAATAAAGTATCTAAAAAAACACACCTTCATGTAAAAAACTGAAACTAAATCACTATCTCTCACTCTGTTCAACATTCAATTTAAAGCAGGTCAATGACTTTAATGTAAGACCTGAAACTACTGTAAGACAACATAGGTGAAGTATTTTAAGAAAAGTATGAGCAACTGCAATAGCTCATATAACACCAAGAAACAGGTAGTTGGGAACCAGTAGCTCATGCCCATAATCCTGCTACTCAGGAAGTTGATACCTGAGGAAGCTAGTCCCAGAAGTTAACTAATTAGCAAAAAAAAGCTGAAAGTGGAGCTATGGCTGAAATGATAAAGTACCAGACTTGAGTGAAAAAGCTAAAGGATGGTTCCTAGGCCCTGAATTCAAGCCCCAGCCTCAGCACAAAAAGAAAACAAAAACAAGGCAACAAGGTTGCATCAAAGTAAGATGCTTCTGCACAGCAAAACAAACTTTTCCCAGAGCCAAGAGTTACTCTACAGAATGGCAGATCATCTTTGCCAGCTACTCATACTATATACTATGGGACTTCAGTAAAAGAACTCATAATCCAATCAAGCAATGGTTAAATAAACTGAATAGTTCTTTATTAAAAAAAAAAAAAAGGGGCTGGGAAGGTGGCTCAGTGGTAGAGCGCTTGCCTTGCATGCCTGAGGCCCTGGGTTCGATTCCTCAGCACCACATAAGCAAAAAAGAAAAAAGCCGGAAGTGGCGCGGTGGCTCAAGTGGTAGAGCGCTAGCCTTGAGCTGAAGAGCTGAGGGACAGTGCCCAGGCCCAGAGTTCAGGCCCCACGACCAGACCCAAAAAAAAAAAAGTAAAGCCGGGTGCTGCTGGCTCACACCTGTAATCCTAGCTACTCAGGAGGCTGAGATCTGAGGATCGCGGTTCAAAGCCAGCCCGGGCAGGAAAGACCGTGAGACTCCTATCTCCAATAAACCACCAGAAAACCAGAAGTGGCACTGTAGCTCAAGTAGTAGAGCGCTCGCCTTGAGCTGAAGAGCTGAGGGACAGCGCCCAGGCCCAGAGTTCAAGCCCCACGACCGACAAAAAAATAAAAAAAATAAAGTGTAAATCAGTACACACACACATACACACACACACAGAGTATAGAAGTTTCCTCAGAAAACCGAAAACAGAACTAGTTTATGTTCTAGCTATACCACTCCTGGGTGTATATCTGATGGAATCAAAGAAAGTGAATTCTATGGAGGAAAACAATGGAAGGGGTAACACTAATCAAAATGTTGAACTTTTTTATTTTAAGGTAAAAGTTAATTCTAGTTATTTCACTTACTTTAAATTCTCAGGTGAAAATCTCTCCAAAATAAAAGTTTCTTCATAGCTAAAGAACTATATGTATTTAAAATACTTTATTCATCTGGATGATACTTTGTTAACAGATTACTGCTTATCTATCTTCAAGTGACATTACTGTAGATCTAGCAGGTCTTGAGCTCTGAATTTGCATTGTTTCTAACATGACTAAATATTCAAATAGAAATCTGTAATTTAGGGCTGGGAAGGTGGCTCAGTGGTAGAGTGCTTGCCTTGCATGCATGAGGCCCTGCGTTCGATTCCTCAGCACCACATAAACCGAAAAAGCCAGAAGTGGCACTGTGGCCCAAGTGGTAGAGTGCCAGCCTTGAGCTGAAGAGCTGAGGGACAGTACCCTGGCCCAGAATTCAAGCCCCACAATCAACAAAATAATTTAATTTTTTTAAAAAATCTATAATTTATATTATCTGTTGATTCTCACAGATTTGGGAAGTCTTATTCATGCATTAAAATAATCAGAAATTTCTTCTAATATAATTTGGTTACAATATTTAATAGGAAAATCTCATTTGAAGATAACTAATTTTTCTTGTACAATAAACACAATTTAGTCCCAGGAAGAAAAAAGAACACTTTCTCCAACTAACTTTCCATTAAAAACTGGTGGCTAGGCAGGGTGGCACACATCTGTGAATCTCAACTACTTAGGAGGTGGAGACAGGAGGATTGTAAGTTTAACATCAGCTGTGGCAAAAGTTAGTAAGATTCTATCTCAAACAACAAAGGCTTGTTGGTGCACATCTGTGGTCCCATCTACTTGGGAGGCGGAGGAAGAAGTTTCCTCACTGTCCAAAATTAGCCCAGGAAAAGTTAATATGAGAGCCTATCTGAAAAACAAACTAAAAGCAAGGTCTGTGGTCATGGCCCAAATAGTAGAGCACTAATCTAGTAAGC